GAGATATGAACATTAAGCTCTGTTCCTTCTGGCCTGTTCTTCATCAGGAGTAAAATTCTGCCCTCAGACTTTATTAATGATTCTGCTGATGATACATGAGATGAAACAAAGCACAGCTCATTCCACAAAACCAGCATTTACTTTTCTAGGCTAGGAGAAACATATTAAAATTGGCGATGACAGCTAGTTCTGTTAGAAAAGTAATGATATGAGGCTCAAAGTACTGATTGCGTATCCATAAGAGGTTTCATGTTCAAAGGGGTAACATTTGATTGAACTGAGTTTATATTTAGAAAGACGGGATCTGTTTCTTTCAAGCCCTATGTTAGATTTGGATTATTTTTTTTTAAATGCATTTCACATTTCCTTCCTTTTTTTCTGCAACACCTTGCATGCTTTTGTACATCATGTAAAAAAAAAAAAAAACTTTTAGAAGGCTAAAAATACATGTTTTAAGACCTGGCTGAGCAAACTGGACAATCAATGGCTGGAAATTTTGCTTTCCCCTATTTTCAACTGAACTGAAAACACTTGAATTGCTCATGGACCTTTGTGTGTACATTTTAGTGTTTGCAGTAGGAATGGCATTCCGAGCATGCCCACCTTTTCCTGCCTTGCAGCAATCCTCCAATAATGGGCAACTTGGGCACTGTAAACCTTCTCACTAAGGAAAAGATAAGTAACTGGCTACAAAAAATATCAAAATTTCTATTGCCTAAATCAAAGGTGCTTTTTAAAATGAACAACAGTGCCTGCAGTTTGATCAGAACAGCAGCAAGAAAAATGAAGCAATGAAAACCCATTAATCAATTCAGTCATTATTTTTATTCTGGCATCTTGCACTGCAGCTCATTATTACTGCATCTGGTAGAGCCTGAAGCATGGCCTTACAGATTGGTTCAGACTTCAGGTATGCAGCTAGCATAGATTCCCACCATAAAGCTCCTTGTACATAATTAATAAGTTAGTTGACCAGATGCTCTAAACAAGGTGTAATGGGTTTGTCAGCTTCATTTTGGTATGGCTGTCATATGCGATCACCTGAAGGAGTGTCATGAATTTAAATTAATCTTGAGCACATGGTTGGGGAGAGGAGGTGAAGGTTTGTTTCTGGGCTGAAAAATGAACACCATGAACAATTAACTGTTGTGCAGGCGTGGGTGCAAACACGTTCACATTATTCTGCAGTGTGCCTAGTCTTTCCAAATTAAGAAAATCGAAAACATTCAACAGTCTCACCAGTGGCTGACAAATCAAAACCAAAACCACGTAGGCAAGCTGGAAACCAGCCACATGGCAAGTCTAATGGAAAAGAGTTCCTTCAAGTAGCTTAGCCACACAGCCACTTTTGCCTACTCTTTAATGTGAAATACTCTCACTCCCTCAGAATAAAAAAAATAGCGGCCATTAGTACAGAGTGATCTCGTTATGCTTCATAGCTACCGATGCATTTTTCTTCCAATGATTTCTCCAAACACTTCTGAATCCTTATAAAACTTTAAAACCCACAGTATCCTATGGTCGGAGTTCCACAGTTAATTGCACTTAACTTCTCACTTCCAGCCTGCATTTTGCTGCCCGTGTCTTATTTGTTTATTCTTAGTGCTGACATCGTCCTTCAGACAGAATACCTCTTCTTCCTTACTGATGTTTATGTGAATCCTAACTACCTCAATAAACCAAATTTTATGGCAGAATCCTGAAATTAAGTTATTTCCACAATGCTCAAATCAGTGCTGAATAGAATCAGCCATGTCAGTTTAACATGCTACTTGAGTACCAAAAGTAGCACAGCAGCCTCCCGTGGCTCAGGAGGATAAATTAACCCAAATGAAGAACGACACTGACAGAATATTTTTATGTAGTAGTATATAGTACTTTAAAACCATTTGAAGAAAATGCGATCATACAGAGCAAAATCTAGCAAAGATTGCTACACTGGGATCAAGTCACAACATTGATTCTTTCTTCACATTCACAGGGAAACATACATTAGTACCATGCCTTGGCATTGATGCCAGTGTTGTAGCATCTCTGTATTAAGGAATCCTGCTTGCCAAATGTGGTTGATCAAAACAATCTGGTACACGGAGTGGGAAAGAGCTGTCGCATCACATAGCAGCTCTGCATTATGCCATTGGGCTCAACTTTTCACATAAGCAGTGTGCTAAGCGCACATCTACGTAAGGACTGCAACAACAGGCACACACCTACCACGTGCCCTAATATGCCAGATGATTCACCTCATCATGTCACCTGAAGCACATACAAAACATGCACAGAGAGTAAAGAGGTTTCAAATTATTTCAATACTTTCTAATTCCTGTAAGCAAAGAGACTAGAGAGCTCCAGGAACTGTTCTTGAACAAAATTTTCAACAGGAAGGGGTAGGTAGATTTAGTAACCACTGTTTGCACACTGAGATATGTCTTTTGTTTATAAGCTGTTTTCTCCTTATTCATCCTGGCAACTGGACCAAGTAGAGCTCAGTATTCCCACCTAAGGAATAGCAACTGTCCCCAGAGCGAGAACAGCGTTAGGGTGTGAATTAGGTGGCATGAGAGGAAAATACTCTAGAAACGATTTGAGATTAGTTTCACATTTCTGAAATATCAAGGGACATTTATATAAAAGGTAAGAAATTTCAAATATTAACCTTGTTCGTGTGTGTGTAGAGATGCAGGGAATATTGTCCAAAATTCGTGCTTTTTTGTGCTTGCCTACCGTGGAAACTGCGAAGATTTGTCTGTGTGCTGGGGAACAAACGAAAGGGATGCAGAGGGAAGCGGTGCTGTGCTGTGAATTCTACAACCATTTTTATTTTATTCAAAGACATACATCTTGGAATCCGTAATCAGTGTGTCCCCTCAGAAACTTGTCGTAGCAGACAGTAATAAATCATTCAGGCATTCAGTCAGTCATTCACTTCATAAGTCCCACTGAGTGCCATGTATCTTGGGATTGCTATGAATGTAAGCAACACTGAAAATACAACCGAGTTATGAAATAAACAAGTCACATAGGAGATGTCCTAGTACTATGATAATAGTAGTGCTAAAAGTGTTCAAGGAAAAGAACATAATTGAGTATGAACCTAAAGAAATAAACTCTTGTTATCAACATGACCAAAACTGTTGACAAAACTATAAAACATTATTTTAATATTCCTCCGTGGGTTTTTCCAAGAAAAGAAACTTCCAATCAAGAAACTATAAAGAACGCACATAGAAACTATGACACATTCAGCTTCTGCTTGATCCTATGTAACCTCCATCTCCATAGAGGGTAGTACATGTATGATGGTAATGCATGTATGTTTTCAAGGACAGAAGGGCTCCAAGCTAATAGATCTAAATTAGGAGGAACCTCTGCAAATCAAGATGTATTTGAAACTTTGCCATGGAGTGGAGCCTTCTGAAGTTCACACTGATATCCTCTCTCTTTAAATAAAAGAAACCCCGAGCATAAATTACTTGCATTCAGCAACTGTCTAGCTATTAGGGAATGTAAGGTTTGAAGCGACTTCCCTGTCTATTACAGTTCCCCTTCTTTGGATATTGCTAGCACAGGACCTATTAAATTTTTGTGGTAGGTTTAATTGGTATCTCTGGACTGGGATTTAATTTTTAACATCACACACTCCTTTCCCAGTACCTCAACAAATCAACAGCAGATTGCCACAAGGTAAGAGTAGCGTTATGCAGTGACTAAAGATAGCTGAGGTGCTTATAGTTCAGTGGCAAGTGTTCATTAGCAGTAAAGCTCATTCAGGAGGTATATGCCTCCTGTTCAGTTGAGTATGCATATATTCCACACATCTGAATTAAACACACCACTGTGTATTTTTGCCCAGGCTCACTTATGTACATAGATCATAAAAAACAGCAATGCAGCGATAAAGTTTTGGGGGAAAGGGAGATGTTTACACTGGCAGATTTTTTTAAAACACTTTCCTGGGGAAAAAGAAGAATACACCCTGGATCAGCTGAAATTAAAATCCAGTTTCTGACTGAGGATCACTGTTTGTATAGTATTCATAAATGGAAATGAATACCCTACTATCACAACAGCATATCTATTATGAAGACATTAAATCGTATTGTTCTTCTATCGTTTTTTAAGAGGTGATGGAGAAAATGCTATTTTCTACATAGAAAGACAAAACAATACATATCCCATTGACTTTTGGAGAGCACAGATCCTGAGTCTTGGAGTTTAACAAAAGAAAAATCTTTAGTGGAGCCCTTTAAAAAATGTTTGCAAAACGTTTGCATTGTGTGACTTTGGATTACAAAACTGTGCAGGTGTACCCATGAGCAGACAGCTCTCAAGCTTTTTCAAATGAATCAGCATGAAGATAACATTTCCTCACAGTAATATTGGACCTCAAGGTTAACTCACCTGACTTTTGTTTTCCATCCATTTCACCAATGTATTTGTTTTGCCTATTAGGTAGGTTTTAAATATATCAACAACACTACATACAATATGACATTGGGACTACTGGACAAGCTGAGCTATAAAAGGAAAATGAGATTTACAGTAGTTACACCATTTACTTTTATTATGGAACAGAGAGGCATTACCATGCTACTTGCTATAAACTCAGATGTTCAGAGATGGCTGGGCTTGTCCCCAAGCTGTGCACCTCTACAAGAAAACTGCAATTTCTATTCTCATTTGCATGTCACATGATTGCATAGATTAACATAGCACAGACTGGCATGAATATCTGCTCCTGCTGAAAGTGTGACTATAGTATCAACTAAAAAGGCTGGTTCTGGCAAAAATATCAGAGTAAATCTACAGAAAACTTCATGGCATAAGTCCATCGACCAGGAGTGCTAGAGAGGAAAACAAAAATCCCCTGAATATTTAAGCAAACCTGAACTTCCTATACCTGTTGTGGAATGGTTGAACAAGCTGACAGAAATCAGAACTGAACTCGTACCTCTGCATACTAGTCATGTACAGCAATAAGGCATCAAAGCAATACTTACAGCTAGAGAATATCAGTGGACATGAGTGTTCGTCCATTGGGAAATTGTGCAGCTGCAGCTGGCACTCAGCATTGATGGTAAGCCTATGGAGAAACCAAGCGTCTGTTACTACCCATCAGCACAATGGACAGTCAGAGGAGGAGGCAGGGTAACCGTAGGTATCATGCAAGAGGGCTTTGACATCCATAAGTAAGGCCTGAAAGGAAAGGACTATATTTGCAGATTGTTCATTGGCTATTTAGGCCTGATCCAAACCAATAATAGTTATCTAAAAACACAAATAATTTCAGCCACATCATTAAGAGTTTCTTGATCCCAAGAAATCCGCACATATGTTTTTCTCTAGACAATTCATCATTGAAGGACATGGGATGGAAAAAAATATTCTTCACAAAAATAACAGGAAATATGGCTGATGTGGTGGTAGGTAATTCCACAAAATTAAAACTTCATAAAGAATCTTATAAGGCACATTCTCTGCATTTACTTATAGTGTGAACTTAACATTCTTTCAGCTATTTTGGGCTGTCTCTCTAAAACTTAATGAATCTCTGTATGCCATCCCAAGTTGTACAGATGTAACAAACAGATCAGCAGGAACGTCTTCAGCCCTACTTGAAAGCTTGTTTTACGTGATATCCCTAACACAAAGGACACTATGAATGGAGCTGATTTTAAAATGACTATTAAAACCAGATAATCTTCAGTCTGATAGCTTACAAAGTAAATGTATTTACCCAGGTAGATTGCATTAAGTGCTAGTTTATTATACAGTCTTTTTCAGGAAACAGACACATTAATTGCATGCCTGAACTTATGCAGCAAGTGTGGAGCATGAGGTTTCTTTGTTGGCTTCTGTTTTTTCTTTTGTTTCTTAAACTAATTCAAAAGCTAACAAACTGGATGGGGAAAGGTTTGTGTCTCAGATTTAGGATGGCACAGAGAAAACATCTGTCTTGGAGAAGGTCACCTGTGAGGAACTTAACAGTGTTTTTGCACTGACACTAGAAGAGGATTTGCAGTGTTACAGCAGGAGTGCATTCACACCCAAAAGCGGGCAGGGAAGAGGATGGAAAGGCATGGAGCATGACTGAACCTCATACACTTTCTCCTGAATACAGAACACTCATCAACACCTGACAGTACCAGGTTATACAGTAGTTACCGCTTCCATGCCACACCAATTCTGTGTGCTCACTTAGGCCAGATAAATTGTTTTTGAATTACACAATGTTATCAATGAACAATAATCATTCTAACAGCTTCTCCTGTGTAAAAAGGAAGCTGACCTAAGTGGGCAAAAAGGACTCAAAACATCTTTCACAAACTAAAAATGATCGTTCAAACAATCAAGTATTACCCCTTTTTTAGCTGTTTTAGACAAATTTTGCAGTCCATTCAGCAAATAGTTTCTTTAGTGATAGGTATGAAAGTCTAACTGCTATTAGGTAGATACTTAACTTGCCCTGAAATACCGAAACAGGACTTAATAGAAAAAACAAACAAAAAAACCCAACAACCCAACCAAGAGGGTATTGGAGTTGACATCCTAATCATCAAAGCCTTTAGCTAAAGGCTACTGGAATAAGCAAGAGCTCTGTCACAGTGGAGCAAGTTCCCAAGGGTATGAAAGTCTAACTGCTATTAGGTAGATACTTAACTTGCCCTGAAATACCGAAACAGGACTTAATAGAAAAAACAAACAAAAAAACCCAACAACCCAACCAAGAGGGTATTGGAGTTTACATCCTTATCCTCAAAGCCTTTAGCTAAAGGCTACTGGAATAAGCAAGAGCTCTGTCACAGTGGAGCAAGTTCCCAAGAAGGGAAGGGAACTAAAAATGTCAATAGCATTTCCAGCTGTTTAATTCCTTTCTTATTGTTTGCCAAAGACTTGCTATTGGAGCCCAACTGCGATGCAAGTATGATCAGAATATGCTGAACACAATCACTGAAGAAAATGTAGTGTGAAAGGGATGTTTCTGAAAAAGTTTGCCATGTGGAATATGGCTTATGGCAAAACTCTCTTCTGAGCAATTTGTCTCTTCCGTAAGTAAAAACATATTTTGATTTCCTCAGGCTTTTTTAATGCAAATATATACAGTATTTCTAATACCATACAGTTGATGGTATCACAAAGATTAGAAAAACTAAAAGCCTCTCCTCCAGCAATTCACCCTTGTGATGCGATGTGACAGACTATCTTTCAGAGTGACTTATTTGAAGAATCAAGTTTTGGCATTAGCATGAATCTAGAAATACTTTATCCAGCCCTGCATCTAACTGATCAGAAAAGTTTCTGACAGGTTTTATGGGACTACATGATCCTGATTTTATTACAAGCACTAAAAAGCCCAACTTCTACAATTTAGACAGACTTATTTCCAGTTCTCAAGGTTTCTTTTTTAGAAAGACAAGACTTTGTTTTTTAAACTCTGCAGTACTTACGCCTGAATATTTCAGTATTTGTCAAGCACGGTCAGGTAAGCATCAGGAAGAAAACAGCAGAGGAGAACAAAGACACCGCTGATAATTACTGCTACTATGCCAGAGGGGGGAGAAGCTTTCAGCCCTGCACGCCGCTGAGTGCTCACCTGAGGGTGTACAAGATCTTGCCATCGTTCCATATGCGGAGGAGCTGGTTGGGGGTGGTGATCCAGTGAGCCTCTGCCGTCTTCGAGTTACGAAATATCGTGTCCGGGATCCAGATCAAGCCAACCATGTTGCTGTTCAGAGTCAGTATCTTCATGGTGCTGTTGAAGCGAAGACGGCTATCTGTCCACGTCTGGGCAAAAAATATATCAATTTGATATTCCTGCAATGAAAGCATGATACACAAATTGAAATCAGCTCCACACTTTCCACTACTATTTGGTCTTTGATAAGGTCTATCCGGGTGTAGAGCGGCAGGATACATTCAGGCCAATGGAGAATGTTTCCTTTTTTTACTGCCTGAGGAAATATTTTTTTCCCTTTTTTCTCTTTTTTTCTTTTTCTTTTTCCTTTTTTTTTTCCTCTAGCTACTTTAGAAAGCAGGCCAAACATCTCACTTGCCTTGGTCCTGTACTATAACAATTTCTCCTCTAGCACGTTCTTTTCCGTTGTCTCTAAACAGTCACAGCTACAAGATACAATTTGCAGACTTCTTTGATGTAGGGCAGACTGATAAAAGAGGTGTGAAAGATGAACAGGAGCAACACACGTAAGGTGGAGAATGGTAAATTCCCCTGATTATGGCAATGCCTTTGGGGGGGTGATGTAAATTCAATAAATTAATTGTTCATTTTCAGGTCACACTACAGCAGAATTGAAAAAGCATGTTCGTACTTCTTTACAGACACCTCATGCACCCCAAATGCTAAGAGCTGAGCGGTTACTAGCTTACTGCCCTGAATAGGCTAATATCATAATTTACATAAATCTCATCCTTTCTTCCACTCCATGTTCACTGCTGTGTTTCTGTAGGTAAGCAGTCATAGCAGGTATAGCTGCAGAAATTAAAATACACATGGACAGACAAAATGATATAGGTGAACATACAAACACGCTGATTTATGCATTTAATACCCCATGGAAGAAAGTGTGCAAATAACAGTATTTGAATTGTGAATTCCAGCCACCAGAGATGTGACCTGGGAGAGGTCACATTTGCATTTGCTTATGTTCCTCTCCCTCTTTCCAGACTGCTCTACCGGTGAACCCTGTGGAAACAGCCATCTGACCGTGTCATGAAAGACCCTCTCAGTCTCGCAGGGCTGGCTGCATCCATGACAGGGACGGCATTTGCTGCTGTGACACAAAGCGTATGCTCTACAACACAAGCTAATACAGGGGCTGGGGATAATCCAGAGGAAACCATCTCCTTAGGTCCCCTGGTAGATGCACTCCTGGTATATCTGAGCAAAGAATTAAGGCTGTGTGGAAAGTCTGGTGTGCGGCCTTTGACCACTCTGAACTTGCTTTTATTGCATTTTTGTTTGTCTATTCCTGAGTTTTAAAAGGAGAGGTGTAAAAAGAAATGCTATTATGTATATTGTTTTATTTATGGGTAGTTAGAAGAGCTTGTAGTCTGAACTGAGGACAGCATTTTTGCTGAGAGATATCTGGTTCTCCTGAGCTATCACATTTTTGGCAGGTCATCCTTCCAAAGCTGATGTTATAACACCAGGAAACCTAATTCACTGACACTGTAATCTTGGTCCAAAACACACTCTGAGCCTCTCATCTCTAGATGGCAAATGATCATTGTGATAAGTGGTGCTAGCATGTATCCAAATACCAGGTAATAGATCACCTTAGGAATTAAAGCCTAGCCACCAAAGGCATTAAGGACCATTTTTCTTCATAGCCTATCTCACTACCGTTTTTCATTGTATTATTAGCTTTATTTTCTCAGGGAAGCTGACAGATTTGAGTCTGAAGAGACTTTTCTTTCATCTCAATGAGCACAAAGTTGCACATCTCCACACACTTAAAGGATGCAATGTGATGTACACAGAGTACCCTTATTATTCAGAAAAGACCCTTAATTCACCAGGTTTAAGATGGTAGAGTGCTGATCTTGTTTCTTTACACTCAACTTTGTATCATTTTGGTCCTTGAAAGTCCAGTGACAAGAGTTTGGCACATTCAGCTTCTATAGATAAGAATATGCTAGACATGCCTATGGGTTTCTCCAAATGCTGACTGAGTAGAGTTGCTTTTTTTAACTCACATGTGAGAATCAGTATTTATAGAATCAAAGACCGTTTGTATACAGCTGGCTAACAACAGTGCTGTCTTTTTACAGGACAAGTTTTTGCATGATATTCATATTTGTGGTTATTTTATATGAATGCTTTAGTTTGGCTAAATTCAGGAGCAGCCATAATTCCCTTCTAGTATATCGTACATATTTAATGATATTTAGGATTTTAGGATTTCTACCCCGCCAAAGGAAAGGAAGACCTTGAGCTCCATAGTACGGTGTCCTGAGAAGGTACTGCAGCTAGATCTGAGCAAAGTGGGCACCAGGAGCAGTATAGGTGTATCATTGTGGTTTCCATCCAGGTAAACTACTCTGGCTGAGAAACAGATTACATTAGCCTAGAAGCAGGGCCATGCTACCGCCACTGTCCAACTCCCATTTTGCATCTCCTTTACTTATTACTGCAACTAGAACATGCCAGCAATGATCATTATTCAAAATCTCTCTGCAATGGGCCACTGTAACTCCATTCACCTTAATAAAAACTTTTCAACTCAAATTAAATGGCTCACAGATCTTCTGAGTGATTTAGTTCTTTAAAAAATGCATTTTTCTTTTTGTAAACTGAGGTCATAAAAGGCAAACCAACACTTTTAAAAGAAAAGTCAGTCAAAGTTGTTCAAAATTAGTTGCATTGACTTTTTCAACACTTTACCCCTATTTTTTTTAATTTAAAGTGTGTACAATGTTCAGTCAGAATGTACAAACTACAACACAAAATTTTCCCAGTAAAAATAAATGCACATTTCCTTTAAAATCTGAATTGCAATTTCATCCTTTAAATTCTTTCCAGGAATCCTTTTTAGAAGAGGATGTTAGATCAGTACATCCTTTACATTAATCTTTGTAATTGCTTCAGTCTTCAACCAAGACTGAATCTCATACCATAATGGGGTATGATATTCATACATTCACTCTACTAGGAAGGGACAGAGGTCACTTTTGAAACAGGCACTCAGTTCTTCACTTCTAGTGGAGCTAAGCCTGTGCACACTTCAGAAAAATTACCTTTATCTTCACTAACAACAGATACTCGGTTCCCAGTGAAGTCAACAGCTTCCATATACTGCTTTGCACAAAGCTGGGACAGTGATCTCCAACACACAGCATTCAACAAGAAACTGCCAGAAGAAAGGTTTCTGTGTTGGTCTCGTATACAGGTCAATGTAATATAATATAATAACTATAATATAAGAAAGGAATGATTTTCATTTGCTAGCTAATACCTGTCATTTTAGATCTTTATGAAATGTAATGATCGCATTAGAGAGTTCAGGCAAGACATCAGGTTTCAGCAAAATGATGCCTCAGATGAAGCAACATCCTACAACTCTAATAATATTCTTTATGTTCTGTTCTACCACTGTGCCAGAAATGTTAATATCCTTCTGATTCTTTCTTTTCCTTTTTATTTTTTTGCAGTAACCATTGACTACTATAATGAACACAGGAAGAAAAGAAAAAAAAAAAAGCAAAATTTTCAATAAGACTTCTTCCCAGCAGCAGAAAGGTGAAACTATGCTCTCCATGAAATGATGCCAAGGTCATGTACAGTAAAGTGTTCTGTCACTAAGTTTTCTTGCCTTACAGGCACCTAATTTGCCATGCTACCAAAACAGACTCAAGATTTTTCCTACTTATACCACATATTCACACCATGCCTGGATGCATTAACCGAAGCTACACTCCAGAGCAGCCACACTTCTTAAAAGACATTCTCCTTGAGAAGAAGTAAGGGCCAACCCTAAGGGGCAAATCTACATGTTAACATGAAGGGAAATTCTAGGGAAATCTTAATTCCTTTAGTACATCACATATTTTTGAAATAATATTGAATTTCTCTGATGCAAAATTCAGTTATAAACTTGAAGGGATTGATAGGTGAATAATTTATTATCAATTTTAATAGATTTCATTGTTTGACTTTAAAAGTAAATTCATAAAACGTGTTACATGTATAACCTAAATTCCCCACACTTAGAAACTTCATCAAAATGGAATCTGTTTGAGGGTTCCACAATCTGTCCAAAGCTGATTACATAAGGAAAATGTTTTTTTTTTAAATAAATGAAACAATTTTAGGAAATTGAAAGAGCAAAAATGTGAAACTAGACTATGAATGTTTCCAGATTTCATTGTTTGACTTTAAAAGTAAATTCATAAAACGTGTTACATGTATAACCTAAATTCCCCACACTTAGAAACTTCATCAAAATGGAATCTGTTTGAGGGTTCCACAATCTGTCCAAAGCTGATTACATAAGGAAAATGTTTTTTTTTTAAATAAATGAAACAATTTTAGGAAATTGAAAGAGCAAAAATGTGAAACTAGACTATGAGAATGTTTCCAAATCAAAGACACCAGACATACACAAATAGCTGAATCTCTAACTACATAATATCAGGCCTTTTAGGATATTTTAAATTATCAATAATTTTTACTGTTTCTGGAAAGACTAATGCTTTTCAGTAAAATTAAATCAGTTTATTTGTGTTTTGTTTGATCATATGAAAATATAAAACCTTGTTTCTGGCAGCTAATGTGTACGTCTGAGTGAAATGTCTTTGCTTTCTTTTTTTTTATCCCATGATGACTAGCTTATGACCAAAGAATTTGTCAACAGTTCTTTTTTGCAACTTACCCTTAAATGAATGCATTATCTTATACATTTTGTCACGTGAAAAGACAGTTTGCTCTACTTGCAAGACTTATTAAGAAACATTCAGTACAATCTGAAAATAATAAGTAACATTCTGTCACTGAAAAACTATCACCTCCAACAAGGTTATCTTTGAAAATGGGATTTTAAAATTGGTGGTTGACAATGCTCACTTAACTTACAAAGTAACTTCTAAAACCAAGAAAACAGATTATGGTCCTTTTACCTGTATAGTATGCAAGTAATTGTCTCATGGAGGACATTTCTTCCCATTCAAACTTTATAAGCTCTCCTTTAAATCTGAAACTTTTGCTGAGAAAAATGACTGAATGAGATGAGGAGAAGTGACAGATATTTTTTCTAAATCAAATGATGATTTAATTAGACGGTATTTTTCTGTTTTGTGTT